ACCCTGGTGTTCCAGACGTTTTGGTGTTTCAAATACCTGAAACACAAATATGTGGTTTTTTGTAGATCTGTTCGGAAAATGAAAAAAAAAAAGGGGGGGGGGAAGGGGAATATAATGGGCTTTATGGATCCATCAAAGTACAGTAACTTCATTACGTAAACTGGGGGAAAAGTCTCAAACTTTCTGTATCCAATGTCATCAGACCATTCATCCATCTCTCAGCTATTTAAAAATGAATTATTAAAAATAATGAGCCCTGATAACTACAAATCTTTCATTTGCTTTGGTATCAAATTAAGCATAACAGACACAGATCACTAAATGAAAACAATAATAATAATAATATAGCTGAGATGCTTCTATTGGCCCCAGTAGGAGAACAAACATTCCATTTATTCAAATAAAAGCACAATCAGAGATTTTGTTAAATGCTGTGAGATTTAGCCTGTGAAACTATGAGAAGAATAAATTACTTTGGGCGAAAGAAACTGTATGTACAGGTTTTCTCTTCATTATAAGATGCTGAAGATGCTGAAAAGGGAAGTAATTAAAATACAATAAAAGCAGACAGACTTACAGTCAAACATATACTAGCAAAGCAAAGCTTTTCAATGAAAAGAGCATACATGCATCTGATGCAAATTGTGTTTATGATTAGTGGGTTGGTAGAGATTGCACAGCTGGCTTTTAAGGCTTTTCAAAAACCCTGCCTTGATACTCCATACTAGGGATCCCCATTTTTGTTAGGGGGAGGAGAGAAGGTCCACTTGGAAGTCTAACATCATTTCATGGGACTCTCTCACATGGGATGCTTACCCACTTACAAAATATACTCAAAAGCCCCCAGGTCACCTTCTTTTTTTCTAACCAGGTAAGCAGAAGTGTAGACTGCAGACCCATTTTATTTTGCAAGATCACTTATGCCTTATATGCAAAATGTAAGGACCCTCTTGAAAATAAAGAATATGCTGCAGTGGTATGCTGGCTTCCTGTTTAAAATATTTAAAAATACATACATTTTCAATTTAAAAATTCAAGTAAACATTTGTTTGATAGACACAAGTGTATGTGTGTGTGTGTGGGGGGGGTGTCCACGGGGAAATGAGTGCTTGTGAACACCATACTAGGAACTCCAATCTTATATTTTTGTATAGAAAAAAAATCAATTCATGCCTGATAATCAAAATAGGGAGACCTATAATCCATGAAACAATGTTGGAGGATAAGTTTCACCCTCCTTGGTTGCTAATCATGGTTATATAAGATAGTAGAATGTTGTCAATGCACAGCAACAACTAGAGAGCTGGAAGTACCCCATTGTTGCCACAAAGGAAAACTCTCAGAGTATAAGGTGAAGATAATCACTCTCCACTGTAATTCATTCTCCATTTTAAAACATTCAGCACAATATTTTATTTAGTTTACTACTGTTAATTTTTAGCAGAGCAGCTAGTCTTCACCTATACCTCCATAAGCATCAACCTGGGTGCATCACTGAGAACAAACCTATTCAAAGTTCAGAAGAAATACTTTAAAGATTGGAGCATTTACAAAACCTCTTACAAGATGGATTGAAAACTTGGGTCTTTTCTCTGCTATCAACAAATTTAAAAATGAACCCCTGGCCCTTTCTGGCAATACCAATGCTGTACATTTCAGAAAATTGAGCCAATAATGCCCTGAAAGATAGACTCCATGATGACATACCATCATTATTAGGACATTGTGTGGATAAGAAAAAAAGATGGTTGGCACTAGGACCATTTATTTTCAAAGCACAGAATAAATGGCCTGTAAGCACTCAGATGAGCCACAGTCTCACTTTTAAACTGAACAAAGGAGAGAGGAGAAGGCCCTTTGACCATCTGATAATCCAATTTGTAACTACAAATACCACCAGCAAATAATTTTTCCTTCCCCACTCAATGAAAGTTCCTGAATTTGCCTCCCCTGCCACATGTATATTTATCCTCTCCTTTTTATTGCCAGTTTAATGGAGAATAACTGAGATAACAATACTGTAGTTTAGAGAACAATGACTGCTAGAATAAACAAGTGCTGAGACCATGAAGAGGAAAAATGACTGAAGACTGAGTAATAAAAAAAAACTGATGATCTTGCATATATTTGATTGAAATGTCAGATGCCCTATTAATGATGCTTCATCTGCAGCCTATGATTCATTAACACATGCTGTGATAGGCTTTTTCTGAATGCAATGGGCCAATAATCTGCATACAATAGCAATGCCTTTTTTCCCCAAAGCCTTTCATTAAGGAAAAAGGAGAGAAAGTCAATAGCTAACATTTTTTTTTAACTTTTGGAACAAGAAATATCTTGGTGTTTGGAGGTACACAAATCTGTAGCATTCATTTAAGGAAAATAACATGATTGTATATATTTTTTTTTAAAAAAAGAAGGAACACATTGTTAAGTACTATTATCCCACAAAACATCTGACAGCAAATCCTATACTGAATACCAAACATGGCTCTTGCAGAACAGCTAGTATCTAAATTAAGGATAAGAGTACTCAATCACTGTTTAGGAGGTGTTGAAATGACTTGGGGTTATGCCAGAAATTGTCCTTGATACTCTTCATCTCAGGACATTTTCAGAAGCTGCAACAAGTTGATGTTGTTGACTCAAATTTCTTAATACTCAAAACAGTTTTCTTATTTAACCATTAAATCAGGATATTTGCCTAGCTTTCTCCAACCTGACACTCTTCAGCAACTTCCATGATCCACAGCCTGTGTTGCTGATGAGTGGCAATTCTGGAAATGGTATTCCCAATTTATACAGAGTGTCACAGGTTAGGATAGTCTAGATTAGCTCTTGTTTCACTAAGAATCTTCACAAAGGGGAGAAGACCATACATGGGACATTACAAGTCTGCTGACCGCACCCCAGTCTAATCTAACTGGTTTAATGGCCTGATAATCTTTTTTAATTTTACTTTTCCTCCCCATTAAATATCATTTTCACAGGGTTGCAAAAGTGTTTTGACTCAACAACAATATTTAGAAAGTCAAAATTAAAGAACTTTAGGTAACTGGTGCCAAATGTCTGTGGAGATTCTCAGTCTTCCAGGACATAGTTATCCCAAAAGTGCTTTTTCACGAGGCAACTGAATTTCCTTGTTTTTTCTTTGAAGACGTTTCGCTTCTCATCCAAAAAGCTTCAGAGATGAAGAAGTTTCTTGGATGAGAAGTGAAAAGTCTTCAAACAAAAAACAAGAAAGTCCAGTTGCCTCATGAAAAAGCACTTTTGGGATAACTGTTGCCAATTGTATCTAAGAATGAAGTCATACTGCTGTCTGATGTTTGATCATTCCTTTTAAGATCACTGTTACAATGGCTTTTTTATCTTCTTAGGCAGGAAGACAGCCAGTGGGAAGCTCAACTAACCACATCTCAAAGGCACAATATCCACACAGCATTTACATTTTTTTCTGTTAAGGAGCCTTGGTGGTACAGTGGTTAAGTACAGTTTCATAGGCAAATTCTGCCCACAATCTAGAGTTCGATCCTGACGGGGCTCAAGGTTGACTCAGCCTTCCATCCTTCCAGAGTTAGTAAAATGAGGAGCCAGATTGTTGGGGACAATATGCAAATAATACTTGTGTTCTAAAGCGCTATGGGGCAGTATATAATTCTAAATGCTACTGCTATTCTGAGAAATGGAAGCTACTTTATAAATGGCATTTTGCCAATTGTTGATAAATAGGAGAAAGCCATTCAGAGAACTTTGCAAATGAGGACAATCATGAATTAAAATTCCTTTGTTCCTTACATAATTTGCATCATTTCCCTTTATGTATTGTGTTCAAGTTAATCAGAATCTTCTGCCTATGATTAGGGCTGTCAGTTAAAAAGGTTAATCTATCATCTGTCTTTTAATTGAACTAAAAGACAGGGTGGATTGTTGAAAAACCATGACACTCATTATTTGAGCAAAATGTCTTTTGGGGGGATGGCAATCCAAAATAAACTGCAACTATAACCTTGGGAAATAGAAATCAGCAAAATCCTGAAGTCCTGCTCCCCATGAAAGTTCATCAAATAATATTACTCATAAAGGAGAATAGAGCTTAACAAGGGTATTTGCATGGTAAGTGCTTCAAATTCCTAAACATCTGAATAATGTTCACACAAAATCAAAATATCTTTTAAGTAAGCTAGGCATGGTTGTTTTGTGTTCACTGTGGGTGAAAGAAATCTACCACTATTTCATATTGGAACATGAAACAGCAACTGATTTATTTATTTATTTATTTATTTATTAAATTTATATAGGATATAAATTTAGGATATAAATTAACACAAATCTTTTTAAAGTTTAGTTTTTCTCTCAACTTTGAAAGCAAATAGCTCCAAGATTGCTTTTTATTATTCTTGTTGTCGTAGTAGTATTTTAAGACATTTCCTTTAAAGCTGTAGTGAAAACCTCAGACCAGAATGCATCCTCTGTATTGTTGGACTTCAGTTCCTGTCACCCCCAAAAGAATATAGCCAGTGGTCAAGAACGATGCCATGAAGAGTGAAGGCATATATTGCACATACTTTTTGGTATGAGTAAGCTGCATAAAATAGGCAAAAAATACACCTATTTCTTGCCTGTCTATTTAACAGCATCAGATATAGGTGATCAGAATGAGTAGTCAGTCTGAGATCAATTATCAAAGAATACCGTCATGCTCAAAAGGTTACCCCTAAAAGGAAAGGGGAGATATCTGGAAGAATTGCCTGTGGTATTCTAAAGCAACCCAGAGAGTTATTCTCAGCAGGGAGAATCAAAAAGCTCTGGGCAAAAGATTAACATTATAAAAGGAGCATTTCATGGGAATAGAACAGCTTCAGATAGACTTCTGTATAATCTTCAAGATAAGAACAAAGTAGGGATGAGTTCTCAAAGATAAGGTTCCTCTCAACACAGTCTCTACAACACTCTGGCAAAAAAAAAAAAAAAAAAAAAGCAACACGTTTCAAACTACTTACTGTTTGGATCTACATTTTCACAAAGTTCTGTTTTTGCTTCCCCGTTGGGCCTGTCGCTAGTTTTGTGTGATAGTCGTGATGACATAGTGGCTGCTGTTACTACTGCTTTGAAGCTACGTTTCCGCTTTTGGACGTTTAGTTCAGGATGGAAGATGATGATGTAAACTTTCGGCATGTAAAGCATTCCCAGGGCCACTGAAGCACTTAAGTTCATAGATATTGTAAGGGTGGTGGTTTGTACATAGACCTAGGAGACAAAATAGGAAAAGACACCATTGAAAAACAAGGAGTGGGTGAATGCAATAAGTTTAACAATGGAGGTGTCTCTTATGCTACAGATGCATTCTGTACTCTGAATTCCTCATCAACAACAATTTTTAGATGCTCAAGTTATTTAGGTTATGCATGGATTTCTGATCCAAGAAAATTACCTACACAATCAACCTGAGACCATACTGAAAGAAAACAACAACAAAATAACAGAGATTCTCCTTAAGCTTGGTTCATAATTAACTTGATATTATAAGTGAATATATGTTTTTTTAAGTTTTGCTGTCAGTTATAAAACTAACACATTTGTTTCAAGTTTGCTTTAGTCATTGTCCAAATATACCCGTATTTTTCTAGTGAATAAGTTTTCAACTGACATTTAAATAGGTGGTATCCAGAATTTTTTTTAAAAAAAATAAGAGAACTATAAATATTTTAATAAACCAATAGAATTTGGTCAGAGTGATTGACAAAGTTCAAAAGGACTAAAATGGAGAGTTCCCTTCTTCCCTAAAAGCATTTCCAAAGCCAATGCCTGTAGAACCCCTCACTCTAAAACAGTGTGAATTCCATGAATGATTATTTGAGCAATGTTTCCCATATTTTTCTTCCTCTGGGAGGATATTTGCTAATGACAAGAACTTGAGAGGCTGTTTTGCATTCTGAATTCTGGGGGGAAAAAAATCCGATGGATATTCTCAAAACATAGCTCCTGTAGTATATATGGGCAGACAAAAACCACCAATTTCTAAGAACTATATAATTCATGAAAAGGGCCATTTAAATCATTGAGTTCAATCCCCTTCTCAGTGAAGATATACAAATAAAGGCATTTCTGATATAGCCTAGCAATTGGATCCATTGTAGAACTGAAGTTTCCCCTAACATTTAATTTAATTGTTTTCATGTAATTAAAGAATACTGTTTTGTTTCCTATACTCTGAGACAAAAGAAAACAATCTTTCTGTACATAGCATTCCTTCACATTTGAAAAGCACTGACATATTCCTTTCAGTGATTAAGCTATTGCCAAATTTAAATTTACTCAATTTTCTATCTCTCACTGTAAAATTTAGTTTCTTGTCCTCTGGTCATCCTCATTGCCCTTATCTGAACCTATTCTGGTCTCTCTGAATTTTTATTGAAAGGTACAGAATTTAGCACAACTATTACTTTTCATAATTTGGAAATTATGCTATGATTGATGCCATCTAAAATTGCTTTCCCATTTTAGCAGCTATGCACACTAGCTTCCAAGACTCTTTTTTTACATCTTTTACTAAACCAGATACATGCATTCTGCACTTATGTATTTGATTTCTTTTACTTAAATGGATAATTTTATGTTTGTTCCTTTTATTTTCAGTCCAAATTTGCTAAAGCAATTTTTACATTTGTTTTCATATTTCACTATCCCTCTCAATTCTGAGCCATCTACAATCTCATCAGCACTTTTCATCTCTTTATCTAAGTTAGTACAGTAAATATTTCAGACTAGCTGGTTTAGAACCAAATCCAACAGAACTAACTCAATACCTCCCCCGGTTTGATGAGAAAGCATTGATCAACTTTTTAAGTGCAGTTTTCAGGCCAACTGTGGATTCACTTAACAGGCTCCTGAATTGTCCTTGGAAATCTATTTGTAAATAATTCACTCAAAAAGGAGTAACATTATAACATGGCTAAAGCTGCTTTCTAGGACAGCTTCAGCTTCTAAGTTGTTTTCAAGGCCAGCACTATGTACAACATATTGCAATAGTTTGCATTATGATTGTCTCAGAGCCTTATAGCCCAGCTATTGACTCCACTGGTGCACAAAATGGATTTGTGTGAAGGCCTACCTGCTTCTTGAGCAAGAGCTATAAATCTAAGAAAACCCATAAGCTGTGTATCAGTCCCAAAGAGTGAAGTACAACCCAATCATGACTGAAGATGAAACATCTCTACACTCATGTTGTCCACATGGTCACTGCCATCCATTTTAGGGGTCAGCTCAAGTCTATTCCTCTCTATCCAGCTTTTTGATACTCTCCTTGTTCAAATGCATTTTTGTCCAGATTTGGTTTTTCCAAAAGGCTATTCTAGAGTTTCAAAACTCTAACCCCCCACTCCTCCCAATAACATCTCTTCTGCACATTGAGTCTATGCAATTCTGCTTGTCTCATTGTGCAAGCATACTTCTGACAAAGAAACTTTTGGCAATCCTAAATTTCAACTTATCCAAGAAGCTAATTTTGGCCTCTAAGACTATCCAACTACTTTTCCACATATTATCAATGCCCACATGTACATGACTAATGACTTCTTCCAATTGTATCTCCTATCTAGACAGCATTTAGCACTATGAGAGAAGCAAACCACCACAGACTCATACTCTGATTACTCATATCACAAACCTTCACTACTAAAAAGTGTCCTCTGATTAGTGGCATATTCTCAATGTAGCTACTAGAACTGGGTCCCTTTGAACAGACTCCTGAAGTAACATCTACTTATCCTGACTGTTGAGGGTGTTGGGGATGGGATCCTGCTTTCCGTCAAAGAAGTGGGATTTCTTGATGTGAGCCATCAAGTGTTAAAGTACTACACCAGTACTTAAATGAATCCACTTTGTACACTGTCTAAAGACATAACTGGGAATGTGATAGATACTGCCATGGATACTATGTCAAAGCAAGCAAATTTACAGCTTGTTTTCAAGGTGAGGACTGCAGCCAAAATAATGAGCCTTAATTCTTGAGAAATCAAGGAAAGCAAGGTGGACAACCTATTATTCTTTGTTAGACTCTCTTTAAGCCCTCTTTTTATGCTCTCGGATCTCCTTTTAACCATACTTCCAAATTTCATTGTCAAGAAAATCAGAGACCTGGGTCACCCATGTTAGAATAATACCTAAAATATGTTACTCCGATTAATATTTTTAAACCCAATTCTCCACTCTCTCTCACTCCCCAAGCGAAAGACCAAATAACCAAGCCTTATCTATGGACATGAAATATTATATACATTTCTCACTACCATATCTTAAGAAGGAAGTCATCAGGAGCATTTAGGGGTGGGGGCTATCAAAATAGTCAAGATGGTGGCCAGAAGCCCAGAATTTAAGCTGCCTTTTTTACATGATTAAAGTGCACACGCAGCTGTCCTAAAGGAAAGATTATAGCAATTAGCTTCTCTGCTTGCAATGATGGAGGCATGACAGGGTTATATAAAAATCTCTAATGGCACAAATAATATAGATAAAGAGTTTTTCACCCTCTTTTGTGTTGTTAGAATTATTTACAGGAAGAAAAAAAGTTACTTTTTTATATAACAATTGGTTAAACTGTGAAATTGGCTACTTATACCTGTGGCAATGAGAATCCAACTGGCTGAGTTGCTTCATGGAAGATGAAACTATCAATACTTACTACTACAGATGGCTATTTAGCACTCCCTGAATGAGAAGTAGCATGTTTTAAAATGGGAAGGAGCTTTTGTCTTCCAGTCCAGATGTAATGGAATGTATGGAGGACTTTGGGGAACAAGAGGAAGAGGAAAGAGCCCCCAGTGGCTCAGTGGTCAAAGAAAGAAAATTAGGAAGGACCTACCCTAATGGATCAAGCAGTTAAATGTAGTGGTGGGAAATTTGTACTTTCAGACTTGCAAAATTCTATTAATGTAACCTTATTATAAAGCAGAATCTGGTTATGTCTGGGAGGGCTCTCACCAGACTAGCGAACTTCACAGATGCATTTAGTTAGACATTACATAACACAAGGGCTAGACTAAATGAGACTATGGTCATATCCATCAAGGTTAATTTTACTCTTATTTTACGCATAGCTGAAGGACAATACCAATGTGACAATGGTCATAGTGTAGGTCAGTAGCTGCTATTAGATGGCTCCAAAATTTCCTTCCTACAGTGTTCTGCATTTGGAGAACTTCTGATAGAATAGTGCTTTACAAAATGGCTATAGGAAGATTGAAGCAGCACATGGAAAAACAGTATTTTTTTTAAAATGACAAAACTGCATGCATTATAATTCTTCCCAGGTACACCCAGTGTGTGTCAAGAATAAATTCCACCTATTTCCATGCCATTCATTCTTTTCCTTTCATTTCTAAAAGAGAATGAACATTCTAGGGCACCAAACCAGTCAAGCACTAAAGCATGATTTTAGCTTCCATCAAATTGAATAAATCCTATTCTAAATCTTCTTATATGCTAAGAATTAAGTGCCTGAATGGGTCACCTACCTGCATAAGCATATAGAACTAAGGATGAAAAATTAGTAAATCATATTACAGATCACAGGGGCTTTATGATGTTTTACAAGCTTCAACAAATTATTTAATAGTTTAATCAACTAATGCTTTAATTGCAGATTAAAATTTGTCCCTCATTTATTCTTTCATCTGGTTTATAGAAGTTGTTAATTCATTCCTACATGTTCCATATATAAATGAATATGAAACTCAGACATAGCTGTCCTTAAAATTTGAAGAAAAGGCTAGGAACTATTTTGCATTTTAGGACAGCTTTGTTCAAATATTACATGAAATTATAGACTAACATAATAAGAATAAATTCCCATGAGCTGCAGGCTTGTAATTTTATTTTATTTTTTCTTTCTCTGGAATAGCTACAGTAAGATGAAAGTAGCCTCCATACTCATTTTAAGATGATTTCAGTGCCTGAAATGGAAATTAATATTAAAGAAGAGTCAATAGCCAAAGTAGTACATGCCAAGAAAATTATATAGATCTGAATGTAATTTTTAGACTTTGGGATGACAGATGATAAAAATCCCTCAATCAAGGAGTATGATTGTAGTTAGTGGAGAAGAATCCTGAAATCCATGAATAGATTTGGAAATGATAACATGGTAAGACCAAAGCCTCAAGGAAATCTGGTTACTAATAATACCAGTTTTTAAAAGGGTCCTTCATTGAAGCAGGGACTATGGGGAGTCCCTGTTTGGTTTGAACTAA